GATTATATTTTGATTCCTCGTTTCTTCTTAATTTCTGATTATAACTTATTTATTAGAAAATAAACGACGGTGGACGAAGTTTCAAGGGGTTTTTCATGCATTAGTTGGCGTCAAGAAAGCGAGAGCAAGTCAACTGTCTTGCGTCTAATCTTTTGAATTTGTCTCCCTTTATCGGTCTTCCAATATGCTGTCGTCGCCTGATACCCGCAATTTAAAAAAGCTCCAACTCTGAAAATCATTTCAGATTTCATTATTAATTGCTGAATTTCACTCATTTATCTGAAATACGCTTTGTTATAATTGTGGAGAGATGTTTTCTAAAGCCGGAAATTTTATCTAGAAGGAGGGTGGGTAGTTTGAATTGTTTCATGCATCAAAATTATACTGAAGTTTTGCCAAAAGACTAACGTTCAGAACCATCAGGCTGCCTAAGTTATAGGAATATTTGTTGTTGTCATCTGAGACGGGCAGATTTAGGGGGGACGCTTTTCCTCCTTAGGGATTCGACCCCTTGCGGACCTTTATCTATTTTTGGCTGACTGACCCTAAATCTTTTCTTAGCTGCCTTTCGCGTCAAAAATATACTTATTTTGAGGTGGGAGCGCGCGCCGAAAAAAAGCGACTTTTTGGTCAAATTTGTCCAAAAAGTGCCTAAAAACGCTTTTTTGGTATGTTTTTTTTCAAAATTTTTAGTTTTTTGGTGCTTTAGGAGAGCTCGGAAAATTAATTTGCTCGACCAAAAAAAGGTCGACAAAATTTTTTTTTGAAAAGCCGCCCCCCCCCCCTCTTGGTTATCTAGATAACTACCATCTGAACCTAAAAAGATTTTCGAAAATTTCATTTGGGGGATAAAATGTCAAAATTATGACACTTTGGGCAGAGCTTTTTGAGAGGCTGACTTCCTTTGCCCTAAAAAGTTTGACCACACCACACTCAAAATGCAGAGGTTTATTGTTGCATTCTTAGACAAAAATATTATGTCTTTTATGCGCGTTCTTGAAAAATTCCATCAAGATTTAAGGCATTGGGCAACAATAATGTCAATTTCTTCTTTCCAGCAATTCCGTGATTAAATCTCACCTTTTGTATATCGTGAAATATTTCAAAATCACTGTTTTTTTGCTGAAGTAATCAAACCTAGCACGTTTTTGCGTTTTTTTGAACTGAGATATGATGACTTTCAGGGACAATTGCCTCACAATCATCTTCAAATCACTGCTCCATCTTGTTTTGATTCGTGTTACAGGTCGCTTGTATGTTTAGCTCTTGCAACCATGCAGCCAAATTTCAAACTTTTGAGCTCAAGCCTCAATGTGTTCAGGTTTGCCAAACGGGTTTCATGTCTTTTGTAGCAAATTGGGGCAAGATTGAACCTAGGTTTTTCAAATCAATCTTTCAGAATCGATCTTTTTACAAAAAAAGCTGGGCAAATTTACACTAGATACTCAAAAGACACATAATTCACAACAAGAGCGGAACTATGATTTGAAGAAAACTGAAAAAATATATATTTTTTGTATCTTAACTACGGAAAAATCAATTTATGAATAGGATAACTCCTTGAGTCCGGATTTACTCCTCGAACAAGTTGTCTATACGCTCACTCAGGGGCGGATCTAGAATTTCTCTCGAGGGGGCGGATTTTCAAAAATGTTCGAAATTTTTTCGACATTTTTTTTAGGTCGACCAAATTGATTTTCTGAACTCTCCTAAATCACTATAAAGACCCCATTTTGACAAAAAGTTTCTGAAAAAACAGGCCAAAAAGCGTTTTTAGCCACTTTTTGAAAAATTTTGACAATAAAATCGCGTTTTTTCGGGACGTCCCCCCCCCCCAAAAAAAAAAATTAGTCTAAACTGGTGCCAAAGGCGTCATTAGAAAATTTTTAGGGTCAGTCAGCCAAAAGTGGGTATCTCAAAATAGTACAAAGGGGACCTTTTGGGTCGGCAGGCGGTCAAATCCCTGAAAGAAAGAGCGTCCGTCCCCCCCCCCCCCCCTAAATCCGCTGGTGCGCTCACTCATTCATAAGTTTGAGTTGAGCTGTCGAAGATTCTTTAATTAACGGAAGCTGAGGCGTCGCAATGTCCAAAAAGTTGAGAAACAATTATATGAAAAGGTCAAAAAACAAAATTTGTTAAAAAAGTCGAGGCTATTTTTGTTTGAATAATTATAGTTTTCACTTTCCTGCGGTCAAATTTCCGAATGAAAAATCGTTCTTTTTCTACATAAGTAGCTCTAGAAAACTCAAAACTGAGTTTTTTACCACAATTGTGGGAAAAAAGATTTGACTGGCATACGGACAATGTATTGAAAAAAATACGTCGGAAACAAAAAAAATCATGCAACAGTCTTTTTGTCAAACGACGTAGATGTTAAAGAAACATAGACAAGAAAACCTTGCAAAACTGCAAGATTTCAATCAAATAAACTGTTGCAGAAGTCATCGACAACTTTAACAAGTAGTTTGAATCAAGAAAAGTAGCAGACTGTCTTACAACAACAACTCACCTGTATTTACAGAAAAAGTCATCTATAAAATTTTCAAAAAAAAATGATACTTTCATCCATTTTTTTGCTTAAATTTATTAGCAAGTACAACAAGTTCGATTATTAAAGTAAAATAGATTAAATGTAGTTTTAAAGCAATATGATGCTGAGTAATTTAATAAAAAAGAAATTTTTTGGCAATCAACCAAATTGACTTCAAATTTTTTATGACTTCATATCAAACTATGCTGAGTTTCAGAACCAGGGTACGCATGATCGCAAAAAAAGTAGCTGATTACTTCGAAGTAAGAAGTTTTACTTCAACTTCATAAAATCTTTCTATAAAATATTTACAAAATAGATTATTACTGATGCAACTCTGTTGTGGGTTTTTCAAATATTGTTAAGAACTGCAGAAAATTTTTTTCTGTTTTCCGACACTATCTTTTTTTTAAAAAATAAGCGTTGCATAAATATATAATTTTGAGCGGAGACAAATGCAATTTTCTGGTCACAATTTTCAAAACAGCACCTCAAAACTGTATTTTGACCTGTTTTTCCAAAATTTTGTCTGCGAGCTAGATATGTTTGGCAAAATAGATTATTTATAGGGTTATCGGGAATTTTTAAAAATTAATTTGGTCAAGAAAACTGTCGTCAAGTTTTGAAATTTTTTTAAAACTTGACGTTCTCGGAAAACTTCCACATTTTTGCTGGTGTTATGGCGCCATAAAATCTTAGCTTCACGCAAGGAGCTTTAAATACAATCATATATAAATCTGAGGAATTGTCAGTTTTCAATGTTTTGCGGAGTGTTGAATACCTTGTAAAAAATGTTAAAGAGTTTTTTAAGTTTGTTTGCTTTCTTTGGTAACTCTTAAGCATCTTCAAGATCTTGGCAAGATATTCAAATTGCTTGCACTTGAGACAGTTCTACTTCTTTTGAATTACAAAGAAAAAACTTTACTTTGGAAAATTTAGCCGCTTTTCAAAAATTTTTTAGACCCATTCCAAAAAACTGTATTCTTAAATTCTTGGACGAGGGTCTTTGTTATTATTAATATAGCATTTGTTATAACGAACGCTCGTGGAGCGTCGCCGTTATGGCCCAATTCAGAGTTCAGTCGACTTTGATCGTTTGAATCTAGCATAGACAAAAAGGCGTTCAATATCTGATGAAATAAATACTTACGGCGCAAAATTAGTATTTGATTCCCCCTTTTTTCTATTTCTCAAAATCACTTCTAAATTGCATAATTTGCAAATTTAAGATGCTTTAGATTTTTTTTCCTGCAGAAAACAGAATCCTTTTGAAACAGAATGCATAATTCGTTTTGCTTGTTTCAGTCTGAGTGTTTTTTTTTAACAATCAAGTTTCAAAAATGACAACTAAGACAGCAGTAACAGGCAATCAAAGGCTAATAATCCTTTAGCATTTTAGCACTCTTATTTATAATTTCTCTAGAATCAAATGGCTGAAAAACCTTATTGCTTTTTTCTCCTTGCAATTTAAAATGGTAATCAATTTTTACGTATGGGTTCTTAGTAACAGTGAAGCTCTTGAAAAAACATAAATAACATACAAAGTTCATAGATTTGACTCGAATGTTTTATGGTGAAGTTTAACTTGATGTTAGATAATCTCCAATTGTGCTCAATTTTTATTTATTTTTAATTACTATCCTTAAACTTACGTCTTAACCAAATTATAATATTTGACCGTCTTTTACTATAATGTCGTTGAAACAAACTTCCTCAATTATACCAGTTTTTTTCAGCCCGAGTTTTATTTCATTGGGCGGAAAGATTAAACTTGCGGAGCAATTAAAAGATAATTGCGCCTTCTCTGAAGTTCGCGTCAAATTAGAAGTCGGCCTTTATTTGAGTGAAACAAAAAGCTCCCATTTGTAAGCGGATAATCAAATATTCCTTTTAAATCCCAAGTTTTTCACGCATGAAACTCCGAAAATGTATAATGAAATTACTCGCAATCAACCAAATTGAGTTCAAATTTTGCACTGCATTCAAATGAATTTAAGTTTAATTTCAAAATCAGTGTTCGAGAAAAAATTTTACCTATGATTGCGAAAAAGAAAAACAGTAGCTGATTGATTACTTTGAAGCAAAAAGTTTTACTTCATTTTCAAAATTTTAATGATCAATTCTATCGTATGCTTGTAAGAACACAGTTGCTTTAAAAAAATTTTCGAAAGAACGGAGGATTTCTTTCGATTAAATAGTTGGTCTTGCATTTTGATGCTTGGATGCCGGAAATTCAAGAGCAAGTCTTTATATTATTCATTTCTTATCTTATTATTCATTTCTTATTTCAAGTTTGAAAAAATATATATATTATTCGAGATCGAGATGAATGGGAAAGGTTTCATACAATTTTGTCGTTTTGTTTTTGATTATAATCCCTTATCAATTGCTTTTCGATGTCTAGAGATACATTCGATCCTCAAAAAATTTTTGCGAGCAGCATTTGGTTTTTAAAACAATTTTCGTTTAGGAGAAACTTGCGTCCAATGAATTACATGAATCATCAGATTACATGCTGTGACACGATTTGATGCTGAAAAACGATTTCTGCAACTGACACAACAAAATATCCGCATGCAAACCAGATTGAGACGACTAGGTTTATTTTAAATCAGGCCAACTCGGCTAAAAGAAGCCAGAAAACTCAGCCAAAGACAATTCAGAAAAGTTTAAAACAGCTGATTTCATTTGAAGGCTTTTCAAAAAAGTTCGATTAACACCGAATTGAGACGACACCCAACAGCCTTAAGGTGATTCACTGATGGAATACAGACTATTGATGCTCTTTGCAGCTGCTGTCTTCTTCATAGGTAAGAAATAATCTATTAATTTTTTTGGTACTTTTTTCGTAATTTTGTTGAAGTTTTAATTTCGAAGTTGTGTTTTCCAAGCATTTTTTCTTCTTTCATCTTCCTCTTAGCGTTTTTTAAAAACGAATATCGACCATTTCTTCGAGATATCTTTCGTCTAAGAACCATTATCAAATTTCCAAAACTTTTAACGACAAACGTTATCACATTTAAGTTAATTATCGCTTCTTCAAATGTTTTTTTTTCGACAGAGAAAAAACTAAGGAATTTCTACATAATGTGAAACTAAAATGGCACTGAAATAACATGAATACGATATATCCTTCAATGTACATGAGTTACTTTTCCAAAAATTTTAGATTGACCGAATGCAAATGATGTGGAGTACTCACTCTGATGTCTCAGTTTTTTATTTGAAGCACTTAAAGTACTATTCCGGGTCTGAAAAAGCCAGTTTTCATCATTTCTAATTATTTTTCGTGACGTTGTGAAATGATGGTAAGAACAAAGCTGAGGAAAGTTGTCTCATTGAACGATGAAATTTTCTCGTTCAAAAAGTTTCGCCTAGCATGATCAATTTTTTCCACTCAGTTTATTCAGTAAAATACTGTTTAAATTCACTCCCAAAAAAATACTATTTAAAAAGATAAAAAGTGGGCTTAAGATAACTGGTAAGGGCTTCAGATCAAAGACTGGAATAATCAGAGAAGATGTTTTAGATTATTTGCTGCCGGTCGCTGTAAAATTTTTAAAGAAATACTATGTAAAATTCGTTCAAAATGATCCTTTAAGTTAAGCATTTGAAAATGTAAACACTTGATTTTGCGGTAATTGATATCTCACTTGAAAATCACTTATTTGGCATCCTTTTTGCTATTTTGGTAAGTGTAAACTTATTCATTGAATATCAGAAAACAGAAAAGCAAACTTTTGACAGTACGACTGAGGTGTTTTGGGATATGTAGTTAACATTTTGCACAATTCATATCAGCTGATTGAATTATGTTTTGTATACAAACACGCAAGAATTCATTTGATGTGGTGATGATGACCTATCTCGTAACGCTACGATTAGAATTTGATTCTAAAAAAGAGTTTTTGTCATTGGAACCTGAAATAAATTAGGATTTTGTTCATAACTCAAAAAGTTGGAAAAATGTCAACGCAAATTCAGGTTTTTACTCCATAAAATGCCTGGCTTCAAGAATCAATTTGGACAGTTTTTGCTTAGAGTTTTAATTTTTAATTTGTTTTTCTTGGAGCAATGCATGCTTAATGATTTTCTATAGGACTTATGTGAAATATGGCTTCTACGGGAAGACAACCGAAGGTTCGACAAACTGTTTCTGAATTTATAAATGACAAAAACAATTCTGTTCCTGTTCTTGATTTTCAAGGTTAATTCTTCAAAAAAAGTCCTACAACCCAAACAGAAATGAATTTTTTTTGCCAAGGCCAAAAAAATTCCTCAGTAGCCAACAGTTTGTCTCCGGTGCGCCAATTTGGCAGCATTCTTTTAATTGATAAAATGAAGTAAATTACAAGTTTAAAGCAATTTAAATACAAATAAAACAATGGATAGAACTTAATGATTTTTTGTTTCATCATTGGTGCACGAATGGTTAAAATATTTGAGAGATTAAATGTTTGAGTGACTTTTTTGGCCAACCTCCGAGCTTAGATTTTTATTTCAATTTTGAAAAACTGATGTGCTTGGGTAAGTTTAGTTTTGAAAATGCGTGCACGCCAACTTCAAAATTTATTAGAAATTACAAAACATCAAATCAGTATTCAATGAACGTAACGGTTTTTGTTTGATATCCCCGTTAGATGACTGAAATAAAATATTATTCTGAATTCATATATCAGGTTTCTAACTATTTTGAACTTTTCAGTGAAAAAAAATGTATTGCTTAAGAGGCGCACAAACGCAGCAATTATTCTTATCTGATGAATAAGAACTTCCAACGATCAGCTTTTAACGATTTCTAGCTCAAAAATTTTATGCTTTCGATACTAGAGGATTTTTGGCGACCAAAAAATCTTAACTTTGCTTCTTTGAATCTTTCTGTCCCGGTAAGATCGCACGGCAGAAAAACATTTCTAATGCAACTAGTTCCGATAGTGCAAAAGTATGTTAAATCGATAAATAACGGACAAGCTAAAATGTTTTGGATTTTCAAGTTCCTAGATTTTTGAAACAGACCATGAAGGTAAGAGCTGACTTAGTAATTACCCATAAGTAGTACCAGCTAGTTTAAATAACAAAAACCAAAAAAAAAAATATTTGCTACCCCAAAAAACTCAATACTGTTAGGAAATTGTTTTTAAAGGAGATTTTTTGCATTGTTTTTTGATATCGTATTCTATGTGAGACGCTTCCTCTTAAGTTTTTTTCTTATGCCTCATTTACTATAATTCTTGAGCATTTTCAGTTTTTCGGCTCTCCTTCAGATCTTTTCATCACTCACGAAAAGAAAAACAACACAACATGAAAAAATTGTTTTTTATTTCATTTTTAATTTCTGGTTAGAATAGTATATGTCGTACTTGTACAGAAACCAATTATTCTTACTATCTTTTTAGCAATAGTTACCTTATTATTTTTGCAGCTCAAACTTAAATATTATATCTGTTTTGAAGGATAAATCAACTGAAACTTGTCTGACAATCAACTGAAAACTCAACAGAAAACGGAAAACAATCGTTTCAATAAACACGTATGCATCTGTTAAATTCCATTCTGGAAAAAACTCATGAAGATTACAGCTTTTTGCTTCTAGTTTTTTTTGTTCCGATCCCTAAAAGTTGGAAGGAACTATGCTTCTGAATGTATTTTAAGTTTTCTGTTGTTTGCTTGATATTTTTTTTCTGTTGTTTGCCTTATTACATGTTATTTTTTTGCAGTTAATAAAATATCCTTCTTTCTCAATTTCACATTTTATTGTCTTGGCAAGTTTTTTTTTGAAAATTAGCCATTTTTTTTTCTGAGATTCCCTAAATTTTGATCCCCTAAATCTCCAAAACAGGGGCGGATTTCTAACTAATTTTTGATCTCCCTAAATCCGCAAAAACAGGGAGGGATTTAGGGGGGACGCCCTCCCTCTCAGGGAATCGACCCCGTGCCGACCCAAAGGGTCCCTCTTTTGTACTATTTTGGGATATCCAAGTTTGGCTGACGGGCCCAAAAATTTTTCGAAAATTTCTCAATATATACTAATTTTTAGGGGGGAGCGCGCGCCAAAAAAAAGCAATTTTTTGGTAAAATGTTTCCAAAAAGTGCCTAAAAACGCTATTTGTGGCCTATTTTTTCAAAATTTTGCTTGCGGCGCAGAAATTTTGGCCAAAATTAGGGTTTTTTAGTGCTTTGGGAGAGCTCAGAAAATCAATTTAGTCGACCTAAAAAAAGAATGACAAAATTTTCGAAATTTTTTTGAAAACCCATCCTCCCCTTCGAGAAATCCTAGATTCACCCCTGGCCCAAAATATGGCCCGTATATGGAAAAAATTATATCATCGCTTCCAACAAAACGGCAAAAATGGAGAATAACTATGGATTTAGATGATTTTTTGTTCTTACAAATTTAAGACAATCATAGAGCGAAGATTCTATCTTTGTAAGGGTTTATTAAGCTAATGTTAGTTTATTCTAAGCTACCTTTTGCTCCCCCGCGTTCACATAAACGATAAATTAAGAAAAAATTTAACATTTTTTTTAGAGAAAACAAAATTGGAGAAAGAGTTTGTTTTTCATTTTTGACCAAAATAACTGTGAGCTATAGCTAATTTTGTTAACCCTTGATGCGAAGGCTTAGATGTCAAAAAACGTGATTTGATGTCAAAACACTTTTTCACCATTGATGTCAAAAATTGGAATGAAACCAGATATTGACTTTCCTTTTAGATCAATTTAGATCAAACTTTTTTAAATCAATTTCTTACAAAAATACCACCGAGAATCAAAGTCCAAATCCAAAAGCGACCCTTTCGTGGGTACTTGTGCGAATAATTTGATTAACACCTGAGTCAACTAGAACTCCTTAGAGGAAAGAATTAAAACGATTTTTGGGAGATACTCGTTGGTCACATAAGCACAACTGCGACCCAGCTTCATTTTGATTAAAAACCACATTTTCAAACCATTTCGGTAGAATATTACCCACACACCATTGCTAATTTGACTGACAGATTTATATTTGAGATGCAAAATTGTTGTTTTGTTGGTCCCATTTGCACTCCTTGTTGTTTTGTTATATGTTTTTCGTTATTTTGTTTACATTTTCAACCGGGCTCAATATCAGTACAACGACATATTATAATATTACGTATGCACTTTTGTCTCAAGGGTAATCTCAACTGTCCTTTTTGGAATAATAAACCAGATTTTTGGCCAAAGAGTCTCCGTTTTTTAGTACTAACCATAACTTTATAACCAAATTCACCCAGAATAGAAAATTAATCCATTTTTGCTTCTTTTTTTCTTTGAAGTGTTGATATCCGCTATTCAGTAGTAAACTTACTTTTTTGTCCGTTTTTGTATTCTGCCTAAACATGAATTAATGAATAGATTTCCACCTTGCAAATTACATTTAAATTACCATTTTTTCACGCTCAGCTAGATTTGTCCTGGAATTAAAATCTGGGATTGAATAACAGTTTTTCATTTCCAAAGCTGCGTCTTGCTCAATTATTGTCAAAAATTAGATCTTATTTACTTCTGCTTTTATTGGAAAAATTTTCATTGCTAGAAATGAGAAGTTCAATAAACAATGAAAACTCATTCAAATATATCTCAAATTGATTCATTATTTAGCTTTCTTAAACTTTTTTTTTAGTTTAATTTTTGGAAATACCGCGAGAAATATTTTGAAGTGAAATAAGTTACTTTTGACTGTTTATCTCATTTTCTCGGGCAGTTTAGATTTTTGGGTAAAAATTGTCACAAAAAAAATCATTTATTAAAAAAACTCTTTTGAAAAAAAAATATTGCCTCCGTGGATTCAAAAATATTTTTTATTTTTCTTAAGGAAAGATTGGATACAAAACGTGTACACGGGCGTGACATAAAGACTCAGCAGTAATGACAAATCTCCAGTTAGGCCTAAAAGAATTAGTCTCAGCATAAGAACTTGCAGGTGTTGTAATAGAGACCATATTTCCTACACAAAATAAGCACTTCTACGTTTTTTGGTCTGCCGAAGAGACTTTTGTTAATATTTCCTATTATCTCAGATTCAAATGCAGTTTTTAGGCTGAAAATTGAGAAAACGGCGGCTAGAAGTCCGAGTCTTTTGAGAAAACGCCGAAATTAAAAGTCTCAATTACAAAGTCGCTTGTACAGTTTTTGCGGAAAGTTACAAAAAGTTTCGAAGCAGCGATAAAATAGTTCATTAATTTATATGCTTTATTGTTTTTAAAGAAATCCGAATAAATTTTTAATGATTTTCTACAACACGATTACAAAAAAAAGAGAAAAAAACAGCGTTTTCTTTTTTATGGCACGATTACTCGTCTATTGAGCCAAGATGTGTTTATTATTTAGGGCGGAAGATTATTATACATTTAGAGAAAAAGAACGATCGAATAATCGGAAACAACTAAAAAAAGTTATCGGTCATTGATATTGGCTATCTATAGTTTATCTATAATAGTATGCTTGATAACCATAGGCTCGAAATCTCTTTTCAAGGTCTTACTTATTTTCTTGTTAAATTCTCATCGCCAGAATTTCAAATCAACTTTTTCCTTGCTGGCGAAAAACTTTCTTTTGAAAACATTCTAGACAAATTATTCTGGACCAAAAGAGACTAATTGGATCCCTTTTCAACAATTCAGACTTTGATCCGCAGATGATTTTTTGATCCGAAACTTCATTTGAAATTAAATTATTTATTTGCGCTACTCTGCAATTCGATTGATATTCTTACCGCAAAGACAAAAAATCAAGTTTAGTTTGCCGTAACAAGCAGGAAGTTAAGATTCAATTAATTTTCAACTTAAAACAACATAACCCAATCAAACAAGGTCGAAACACTTTTGAATTTGATCTCAGAACATTTATTTCGTTCAGCTGGTATAAAAAATGTTGTCGAAAGCGTTTCGATAAAAAACCTAATTTTGACTAAGTAAAATAAACCACCCTTAGAATAAGTAATCTCTAAGCTACTCAACCAGAAGCTGGCCTTTTAATTGGGATTAAAAGGCTGATTAAAGTGTTCAAACGGATTTGCAATTCTTTTTGAAATAATGTATTTTCATATAAATTTACTGTTAACTTATACGTGATCATCAAAACAATTTGGTTCAAAAGCGGACAAAATTTAACAGACAAAAACCAATAATTGCCTTATTCTTTTTTTGGTTATCTAAAAACAATTCCTCTTGATTAATCAGTTTTTTCTTAATATGGCCTAAACGGAGGGAGATTATCTCAAGTCAAGCAAAAAAAACTGTCAGATATGATTTTTGTGGGCTTTCGAGAAGTGTATAATAAATCCATTAGATGGCATTTTGCGTCAATCAAAAACCATCGCCTACCATTAGGTCAGGAAGTTTTCAGTCAATTTTAAAGGTTTCGTAATGGATATAAAAACTTTTAAAAACACTAATCATAATTTTATCATCAAAGTGATCGCAGTTTGATTACCGGTTTCAGACAATTGCTTCAAAAAAATTACTCTTCCGCGTTATTTTCTTTGAGTTAAACTTTGGTTGTTTTTGAACTTTTTGTATTACAGTTAAAAAACAGATTTCGTCTCTTTCGTCTTCGAGATGGAGTCCTCACTTTCAAATTCAAATTAGCTCATTTGAATAATTTCTTTTCTAATGCAACTATCTCTGATTTTAACTTCTTAATATCCCAAAGGGTGAATTTTTATATCGCGATATTTACTCAATTGCTTACCGGGATCAGTTTTAATAAAAAATTATATCCGTACAACCAGTTCAACATTAAACCAGGAAGAGAAAAGCAAACAAAAAGTTCTTTATTTTTCTGTTTCAAAGAAGCCTTTCTTTATGATTTTTAGTGTTCACTCCTCAACCATCAGCAATAACTTGTATTTTTACTGCTATCGTTTCGGGTAAAACAAGAATATTACAGTATTAATTCAAAATTGATTCAAAATGTTCAGTTTTAATTGAACTTCAATAGTTGTCAATAGTTTTACCTTGTACTTTTAATTGGTTATTGAATTTGATTATTGTTATCATTGGATAATTAGAAAAATCTGTTTGACCATGAGTGTGGAAACTTTTTTCAATTCCGGTTATTCAAAATGGGATCCGCCAACTTCGCCCGGCGGAGGGTTAGAAAGTCGGGTTAATCCGACACCCGAAATTCTAGTCGCCGTTTGCCAGATGGTAATGCTTTACCAATTGGTAACAGAGAAAGAATGTCTGTCTGATTTAGCTCGAGTTGCGTCGCTGCCTCGCAACGTGCATCGCTATACCCACATCGCAAAAGTCGGCGACGATGCGACGCTGGAGTGTGATGTTGCCGGCATCTTGGGAGACTACGGAAATTCAGTCGGAGGGAGAACCGGGATGTCAGCTGGGGGATTTGGACCTGACTACAATTTAGTGTGGTGGACAAGCGGAAATGACCCTAAGACGTCCGTCAACATTACTATGAGGTTAAAAATTCTTTCAGTATCAATATCCTCTAGTCAACTTTCCTCATTTTGAAAAGTTTCCTTCTCACAGAATACATATCGGTATCACTAACACAACCATGTTTCGCATGTTAAACTTAAACGATATGAAAACATGTGCAAATGGGGGGGGGGGCTTCACAATTGAATTTAACAAAGTAACAACGTTTTCATTTCAGGCGTTTTGAGAGAAAAAATTAATCTCCATTTTATTTGAAAGCAAGTACAACCTCTCCAAGAACCACCCCCCCCCCCACCACCACCACCCCCCCCCCCACCACCACCACCACCACCCCCGATTTTCTGAGATCTCCGAAATCTTTGAAGACTTGGTTTCTCTAACTTTTTCTGCATCGCTGGCGAATTTGCGGGCCATAAATGACTTAACACGACTGAAAATATTAGGACTGGTCAAGTATAATAGTTATTGTAAAATTAGTACCCAATAAGACTTAGCTTTGATACTTCAGAAGCGGAAAGAATGAAAAGTGGGTTCTACATTCGCACTACTCTCTCCAGTCGGGCAGCAGCAGTCTCGTGATTCACGATTTGAGCCACTCTGACTCGGGTTTTTACGCTTGCCACGCCCTACCTTCTGGTGACAGTGGCGTTGTTGTTCACTCGCCAAACAAGATACTTCTAGTGCAAGGTAAGTCCTCAAATATATTTGCATAAGTTAACACTGTGCTCGGAATATTCTGTGCTACTCTAAGCATACTAGCCGACTTTTCTCGTTGTATATTGGAATATGAGTATAAATAAAAAGACCACTCGTATATCAGGGTAAGTCCTGAATGCTCCGACTGCCCCTTAATCCATATCGAATAGTTTTTAGGAAAAGAAAATATTGAAAAGCTTCAACCTTTGGACCAAATCAAAGATCAAGTGCAAAAATTTGAGTCGTACGAAATTAATACAACCAAATAGCTAGCTAGCCTCAATTCACTTTGGAACGATTTTATTGTACGATTCGCCTCGCATAAATAATTCGCGTTACGTTTTCAAGATTATGGATAAATTATTCCAGAGCATGGGCAAGTTGGCAATTTTCAAACTCCTGAAAACTTGCAAAAATGATCAGAGGTAGAAAAATTTTTTCAATATGATTGCAGGAAGCCGATATTTTCAATGGGGCATAAAAATTTGTTGTAAAAATCTATTATGTTGACTGCAGAAAAAAACCACACCAAGCGTAAATAATCCAATTTCTTCAAATGTCGGTTTGAAGGTTTTTAACACTTAAATTTGGTCGAGCGAAAGTTCAAAAGCTAGACGCCTGAAAACAAACAATTTGTTTCTAATGGCCATCTATTAAACCAATCTGCAGTTTATAAAAGAACATTACAAAACGTGATGACATGTTAGATTTCTTCTGGGAAGAGCTTGTTATACTATGCTAATTTTTATAGTTTTTCTTTTATTGTGCTCCACCATTGAAAATGGGGAGGAACTTTGTATTCGGGATTCTTGTTCCGACCATTGAAAATGGGAAAGAATTTTGTATTCGGGAGTGTTTTAGTTTTTTTTGTTTTCCACGCAAAGCCAGCTACTATAAATAATCATCGGACTCGGTTGAGTGATGTATGATAATAATACCCTTTCAGTCGTGATTCCAACGTCATTAGAAAATTTCAAAATAGTTTTCGCAGCGGTTTGAAAACCGGTTTGAACACCGCTTTGAAATTTTTGATTTTTTGTCGAATTTCGAGCGAATGAGTAGGCTTATATTAGCTTATTTATGCTTAATTTAAGCCTTGAATATATAGTATTACTCAAATGATTTCAAAAATTTCAAAAAAAAAATTGGGAAAAAAAAGATTTTTGTATCACACCACGCCGAAAAAACGACACTAAAATTGAATTTTAATTTAAGTTTTCAAGACTAGTTGGAACATTCTGTGCTACTTTCACAGTAACCGACTATCCTTGTTTTAGTTTTTTTGTTTTCCTTGCAAAATCTCGGACCACAAAAATTTTTTTGAAAGTTTTGAGTGATATTTCATATTAAAGCTTTTTCGGTTGTTATTCGGACGACAATGCAATTTATTAAATGTTCTCTCAATGTCGAGAAAAACCGGTTTGAAGAAAATTTTGAGTTTCAGTCTGATTTCGAGCGAGTCGAGCAACCGAGTAACACTCGGTATATGAAAACTGGTATTTAGGCCAAAAAAACTTAATTTCACATAATTTAAAATTTGCTTCGGAATTTTCCCATATCGCTTCATTGGCAATAAAAATTTTATTTAAAAAAATTATTGTGCAAAAAAAAATTTTTAAAAAACTTTTTTGTTTTTATTTTATGAATAATTCAGTAATTTTATACGCGTTTGCTCAGTTCTATCGTCACACCACGCCCAAAAAACGAGAATATTTTCTTTATTTGAAGAAAAAAGAGAACAACTTTTTTTGGAGTTTTTTATGAACGTGTTCGGAAAACTCGGTGCTCTTTGCACAGCAACCGGCCATCCTTGTTTTTACTTGGCCCTGTTTAGAAAGTGTGCCTCTGACCCCTGTGGGAGTGCGTGTTAGAGGGGTGGAGAGCAGGTCACTCACGGTGGAGTGGGGCAACCAGGAACCCACCAATGGAGTGCACAGCATGCCACTACACTTCATCATACAATACAGGCTAGTCAAAGTTTTCGCCCTCTGTCGGTTAAATAGATCATCGGAGGGCCAGAAAACTATTTTATCAGTGAACCAAAAACGGGCAAATCAGATCAGTTAACTGAAATTGGCACCTTCTCTGCCAAAAAGCCCCGTTAGTTGCTTTTTTACGATATCTATACTGAAAAACACTTAGTTATTTTGAAAATGAATAATTATTTATGCTTAAGTTGAGATTGAAACGACTGCCGCAGAAAAACTAAGTTTTTTGATTTTCTGAAAACACTTAGTGAAAAATTATCATTGTTTTAAATTTATGTCAACAGATGCAAAAAAATGTCAATAGATTTTCCAAATTGTCTTGGGAAAACCTCAATGGCTGATGTAACTAATAGTTGACGTTTTTGGTTGACTTTTTTTCAAGTTTGAAATTCGGCTCAGTTTTAAATTCAATTCAGATGGATCAAGTTAATCCCCCCCACGCCCCCCCCCCCCCTCTTCTAAACTGACCGACTTAAGATCATACGCCCTACTATTTAATTTGCATGAAATTGGCTAAGCGCAGTAGAATCACCCTTCTGGATGGCTGAAAACTCTAACTCTAAATCAGACTAACAGTTTCTCCCATGGAAAATTTTTTAGGGGGAGAAGGTTAATTTGATTAAATTCATTAATGGAGTTGATTGTTCCGACCACTCTTGAAGATTGGGAAAAGCTATGGCGTAGGGTCTGTTCTTAACTTTTTTCCTGCCAATTTGACTACCTCAGTAAAAAAGTGGTTAAATGTTTTATTATTTTAAAACCCTTTTGGTCGTGGTTCATTTTCTGAAAAAGATTGTTAACAAACAACACTATGTTCAGAAATATTGCTTTGGTACTTTTGATTTCCAGACTCAACTAGATACTTTTTGGATAAAATTTGAGCCCAAAGTAAAGAGTGTTTCCTTTATAACATTATTGTAACTATAAACACCACTTATTCTTGTATTAGTTTTCCTAATTCAACAGCCATTTCAAAAAAAAACGTAACAAACATGAATTTTGGACCACAAAATAATTTGGAATTTTTTCCTTGATTTTTGAACTCTTTTCTTTTATCAGTGGAAACGTTCTGTTCTACTTGCAAAGCTATCGGCTTTTCTGGTTGGTTTTCTTGCTTGTAAAGGAGTGGTTAAAAATTACATGGCGTAGGCTGCACTTCTTTTAACCCAAGTTTAGGGGTCCCAAAATCTGTATCAGACTGATCGTCGTTTCAAGTTGGATAATTTTTTTTCAGTTCAATCATATTCTGAGATCCAAAAAAAAACCTTTTTTTTTTGGTTTTCAATTTATTTTAACGAGGATTAATTTGATGAATTTATAAATTTGATGAATTTAACCAAGAAATAACTTCTCATATCTAAAATTTTGGCTTCAATCTAAAAATCGGGTTGTGGGAAGCTCTTCTGCTTTCCTGAATATTCCCAAAATTTTTATACACATAAAATTATTATCCTCGGAATAGTCAAGTTTTTGATTTTGTTGACCGTTTTTTGAAACGTCTTTTAAATTTTTATTAAAAACTAGCCTCTCGAACTTGAGGTGGTAGAATAAATGGAAATAATCTGTAGTGGGATGCTCTTCTGCATTAGCAGTGCCACTCTCAATTTTTTACACAAAAGTAATCGTCATCGGAAAAGTCAATTTTTTAATTTTTTGAGCATTTTCTCTAAGTTTTCTGAATTTACCCAAAAAATAACATCTCATATCTAACAATTTGAGTTCAATTCAATTACCGGGTTACAGGAAGTTCTTTTGCTCACGCGTAAAGCCCAATTTTTATGCCCGATTAAAGCCCAATTAAAGCACAAAAAAATATGGCCCTCGGAAAAGTCAAAGTTTTGATGTTTTGACCGTTTGTCGAATCTTTTTACCTTATCTCGAGAACTACCCTCACAAAACTGAGTTTTTTGAGTTCAATCGAAACTAAAGTTTAAGTTAATCTCTTCTGCATAAGCGGCTAATTTCAAGTTCTGTTGCACAAAAAGCTATGATTCTCGGAAATGTCAATTTTTTTGATGACTGTTTTTTGTACTTTTCTCGATAACTAACCTGCCGAACCTGATAACATAGATTTCCTCGATCCAGCAGGTTGCTTGTTGGAAGCTCATCTTTACAATTTGCTACGCCCACTTTTTTACAAAAGTTATTGACTTTAAACAAAAGAACGTTTTGAAAATTGGACCGTTTTTGGAAGTTTTTTTTTCTCGATTCGAAAATTACCTTGCCAATTCTCAGACTAGTGTTGTTTAATCGAGCAGCCCGATTTTTGGAATCTTCTTTACTATACTGGCCACAACCTGCGTTTAGAAAAAAAATGTCGACCTCGGACAGTCAAGTTTTTGAATTTTGATAGTTTTTTAGAAGCTTTTTGAATTTTCTTAAAAGCTACCCTATCAAGTTTGAGATGCAAATTTCAATCGGAAGAAGAGGTTGCGCAAAGTTTTACTGCAGAAGCGGCTACTCCTGAAACTTTCGTTAAAAAAAGCTACGTCTTTGGGAAATTCTAAAATCTCAAAATTTTCCGTTCTTCTCACTTATTTTAGTTGAGAATTAAAATTAAGGTTTTGGGCAAAGTCTAATTTTTGAAATGATGCATTGTGTCCGGCACCAGTATAAAAAATTTAAAAATAGCAATTACTGAATTTCAGCTGGAGCTGAGACCTAGGTGTCCTTTATCGAAACATTCGAAAATTTTGGTTCACCTAGATTTTTTTAAACTTTTTTTCAATTTTTTTGCAACTTGCTTTTTTATTATGATTGTGTTGTATCGCAAGTGGTGCAAAGCTCCGCTTCGCCGCTGTGTTAAAATGGTTATTTTTAGTTTTTTTTTAAATTTAACCGTGATCGAAACCCTGCATAATATAAATAAACATAATATAAAATTGATTTTTTTTGTTGGCGAGGCTTAACTAAGTTTTAGTTTCAGCTTGTAGTTGATTTTTCCATTCCGAAGATCGGAATCGGACTTAGAAATCTTCCGTAAAACTTTTTTTCGAATTTTAGCCCGCATTTTAGCTTAAAATTTTAAGCGAGTCCTAGTTACTTGTATTCAACTGCGTTTTAATAACCTCAGTGCCTGCCCAAAAATGACGAGCACCAACACCATTGTTGAAGATTACTTCAACAAACAAATTGGCGAAGAAAGAAAATAAAAAGATACAAATCTACTTCAGACCTCAAAGCAAAAAGAGAAGATATTTAATTTGCACTCAAATTTAACCCCAGTTCAAATCCCAGCGGGGTCAAGTGTAATTTTAACCAGGCTGGGCTCTGATGCGTCGAAGAAATTTTTTACATTCCTCTAGTTAGTTAGCAAGTTCCCCATTGGTTTAATCAGAAGGGAAGTGCCCGACTATAACCTGAGGGTTGAAACAGATATATTGAGGAAGAGTTAATTGAGTTAATGCCGCGGGTCTCCAGATATAAACATGCAGCTAAAAAATTATTAACTACAAGTGCTGCTTCAAAGCAAACCCTGAGAACTAAAAATGATGCGCATTTTAACCCAAATCGCAATGCTGGTTTTAAGAGGTCTTTAGAGGGTAAAAGGTAGATAACAATCTATCTATTTGACAGTTTTAATTGAGGAGGCTTTTATTTCGCATCGGGGAACAAGTTAAAAGCGATTCGGGTTCTGTAGTTGACAGTTGTAACATGTGATTTCGGCAGTTGTTCAGGGTAGGCAGCTAGATCATCAATTTCTACTCCCCCTCCGTCTTATTGTACATCACTTTTTGCAGCCCTCCCATTAAGACTATCAATTCAGCTCTTCAGGTCGCTCTGATTTGTACCTCTTCCTTATCCACGCCTGCAGATTGATTGCGGGTTCTAACCGAGCAATCAGAAATTCTATTCATGAGGAACTAAAATTTTACCTTTTTTTCACAAAATGACCAATGAAATTAAAGTTTTCCGTCTTTTTGATGCTTCCTTCTTTTCAGAAACAAAAAACGATCTTCACGAATGTTTTATTGAAGGAAATTTTGCGGCTTTGAGAATTATAAACTATCATAAATTAAAAAAAGCTTTGAAGTGTTCCATTATGACTTTTGAACAATCATTTCAAAGATTCCAACTCTAAATTGAGTCCCCTCCCCTGAAAATCCGAAAAATGCACATATTGGTACTATTTTACGGTCCCAACTCCAAAAACTTTTTTAAGGGGGCTTTGGTGCCATTATATTAATAAGGGGGTTGATTTTTAGCTCTTTTTTCTACAAACTCGCGCAAACAGTTTTGGCAAAATAGGTCTTCATAGTGTTTTGAAAAACTCGACAAAAAAACGACAAAATATATTTTTTTAAAAACAGACCCTCCGCATCCCCCTCTTGAGAAAATCCTTGATTTGCCACGGTTTTTATCGGACTTATATGCATGACTAAAAAACATGTAATGCTGACAGGAGAAGATAGCGTTTCTTGGCAATTATTGGAGGGTTTCGACCAAAAAAATCTTCCAAAAAAATCAGGGTTTTGACCAAAAAAAATCAGTGGAATTCCGCCCCACACCTTAAGAATAAATACAAAGTTGATCGATTCAAAACGAATGGCGTAAAATATAATCGAAGGAAGTGGTCAAGTGGTCCTCTTAGCCAGAGAAATTTTAATATACACTTTACAAAATAGTTATTACATTTCTTCATGAATGAACATGGAAAACGCCAATAATTCATATGGAGGTTGAAACCAAATGAAATCAACAAAAACAAACAAGCACGACTCCAGCAAATAAACCAGGAAAAACCAAGGTTCAGAAAATACCTAGCAACAATTATTAGTTGTTGATGGGACTAAGTCTCCGACTCACAATCGAAAGGTCGGTGGCTAGAGGCCCACAATGATCAGTAGTCGTTGCAAGCGGCAACATTAAAAATAACAAGCAAGCTTGTTTTGTAACTGAAGGCACAACATTGTTCAGCGTTTCACCATGAAAAGCTGAAAAACCTGTATGTTAGTATGTTGGTCCTTTCCCGTGTGGATAAGTCGTCTTAAATTTAATCCTTCATTTTTTGCAGATCTGTTCACTGGGGGTGGCGAAACTCAACAGTTGAATCTCAAGAACAAGATATTAACAATAACAACTTAGACAACTCCCAGACCGACACTAGTCGGGGGGACTCTCAACGAACTCAGAGTGCGGTGTTGGTGAGATTGGAGCCGTTTACCCGATACCAAGTGAGAGTTGTCGCTAGAAATGCGGTTGGTGAGTCAGCACCCTCGGAAGCAACAGATTACGTCACAACTGCATGTGAAGGTGAGACACGTTTAATTTCTTCTGAGATCTCTGAGGAATTAGAAAATATTCAATTGAAAAATATGGTAAAATTCGAAAACCAATTGATAAAAATGAGTAATTGACTGCATTTATAACATTTGTGGCTCCGAAGTTTTTTTGACAAGGTCAACTTAAGTTCTAATACTTCTTATTGAAAAAATGATTAAGTTTTAAGAAACAGGAGACAAAACTAAAAAAAAAAAACAGGAGCTAGCGGCTCACATTTTGTTTAGTAATGGCCCTTCTGATTTTTTTCGGGGCTTGGAAATGTTTTCGAGCTCTTGATTTTTTTTTGCACAAAATTATAAATTGTGATTACCAATTGAGACCAATGTTTTTCTAAAGGGTGTCTCAAAAAATCCAAACACTGCAATTATAAATAAGTATACCCGGTCACTATGCAAATAGCACAGAATGTTCCCACCACCTTTCTTTAAAATTATTTTACAAAAAAATCTTTCTTCAAATTAGTGTAGTTTTTTGTACGTTGAATCATAAGAGAATTTACAAGCTCGATGAAAGTCAGCGAAATAGACATAATCGACAAAAGTTGTGTTGAAAAAAGAAAAAAAGAAAAAAATGTATATGTAATTTGACCCATTCCGATTATCATTTGTGGTACCTGATTTTGCTTAAAAAACAACAACAAAAAAGAAAATACGAAAACACGCCCGAATACAAAGTTCCTCCCAATTGTCAATGGTCGGAACAAAAACCAACCTTATATAAAAATCTGATTTTTGAACTCTCTGTCTTCTTCTTTTCAGCCCCCTCTGGCCAGCCTTCTATTCTGACGTGTGAGAGTGAGAGAAGTGATGGGGTGAATGTGACATGGCTGCTGCCCCCCAAACACACACGGAACTGCCGAGTGGAGAACTTCAAGATAGAGTACAACCAGAAAGGTCAGATAACCCCCTCCCTCTCTCTCTCTCTCTGTGTCTATCTATCTATCTATCTATCTATCTATCTATCTATCTATCTATCTATCTATCTATCTATCTATCTATCTATCTATCTATCTATCTATCTATCTATCTATCTATCTATCTATCTATCTATCTATCTATCTATCTATCTATCTATCTATCTATCTATCTATCTATCTATCTATCTATCTATCTATCTATCTATCTATCTATCTATCTATCTATCTATCTATCTATCTATCTATCTATCTATCTATCTATCTATCTATCTATCTATCTATCTATCTATCTATCTATCTATCTATCTATCTATCTACCTATCTATCTATCTATCTATCTATCTATCTATCTATCTATCTATCTATCTATCTATCTATCTATCTATCTATCTATCTATCTATCTATCTATCTATCTATCTATCTATCTATCTATCTATCTATCTATCTATCTATCTATCTATCTATCTATCTATCTATCTATCTATCTATCTATCTATCTATCTATCTATCTATCTATCTATCTATCTATCTATCTATCTATCTATCTATCTATCTATCTATCTATCTATCTATCTATCTATCTATCTATCTATCTATCTATCTATCTATCTATCTATCTATCTATCTATCTATCTATCTATCTATCTATCTATCTATCTATCTATCTATCTATCTATCTAACTATCTATCTATCTATCTATCTATCTATCTATCTATCTATCTATCTATCTATCTATCTATCTATCTATCTATCTATCTATCTATCTATCTATCTATCTATCTATCTATCTTCTTCAATCCCTTCATTTACCATTACGAGGCCAACCTGTGTGCACTGGATAGGCGCGCAATTTGGTGTCTCTAGGTCTCTGGAATCCAGTGGCAAGTCTTTAAACATGTTAAAATTTTGCCGCAACAATCAAAGAAAATGAAACAACAAAAGAAGAACAAAAAGAAACCCTCTTTACACATTTTTCCTGAGAGGGTAGAGAGTGGTTTTTGGTAACTTTGAAAAATTATTCTAGCGTCAGAAAATCCGTTTTAGCATCTTTTTTGAAAAATTTTGACCCAACGAAAGGATTAATTCTATTGAATTGAAGTCAAAACTAACCCAAGAAATGGTTTTAGTTTCGACTTCCGAAGAAAGTGAGGATTATATATGCCCGGGTGGTTTTTTTTATTCAGTTCAATTTTAGAGAAGTTTTGCTGCCTACGGGCATCGATTCGGAAGTCATTGATTTAACTAAAAAATGCTCATAACTAAATGAGACAGTTTAAATTGCACTTAGCTAAAGTGAAAAAATACTTTGAAATTTGGTTTTCAAATGTGAATTATTTATGCGTGGCAAATTCTCCGCTCTCGTAATTGTTCTGAATTGAATTGAAGCAAGGTAATTAGTCTTATTAACTCCATAAACTACTCAAACTTTAACACTATGATGGGGCTTAGGACACAGACGATAGGTAAATTAGACGGCTCCAATAAACGAGTTTAGACGTTAGTTTTTTGGGCTAACAAAATTTTTTGCTTAAAACAAAACTGCACAAATACAAGAAGAGTTTATAAACCCATTGCATGTCAAAAAATTTATTATGAGTGATTTATGAAATTTAACCCACATATTAAAAATTGTTATACAATTGCCTTTTTTCAAAAAGTGACATTCATTTTAGCAAGCTCAAACGACTAATTTACATGTAGTCTAATTTTTTAGGACCCAATATGATATTGTTTGCCTGAAATTTGTAGATTGTCAATATTTCATACATCAAAAACAACTCGAGACAAATCAATGGGCATAGTCGGGACATTCAGAGCTTTGCCTTGATACGAGCAGTCTTTTGGATAAATAGTTTCATCGCTGTTTTCGACGGGGGGTGAGAACTTAGACAACAATGAAATTAGACGGAAGCTTTTAAAAGGAAATTAGACGTTTTTGTAAAACTGCAATTGTGAGAAAATAGACAAATTGAGGTAATTAAAATTGTTTGCAGACAAATCGCGTGAGAAAACTAAAAAGGTTTGCAGACAACAGTCAAATTTCGGTTGCAACAGATGCAAAATTTCAAAAAATTTTCACCGAAATATCGAGGTGGGCAAAATTTTGTTACAGATGAAGTTTATAGATTTAAAAAAGATGCAAAGAACAAAATTGGTCGTCATTATCGCTGTGTTAACTTCAATTGCTCCGGAAGATGAATGACAAAATTAAAAATTACAACAACTATTTTAAATTCAATCAATCACAATCACGAAACCGACCTTGTGTACATTGACGAAGAAATTTTCGAGTAAAACCCACAAAGTCAGTAGTTTACGACGAGCAAGTTAAACTGAATGCTGAAATGGAAAATCCACCAGATTATCACAGAATTGGCAGCGGGTTGCTAACAAAACGTAACCAAATTTTGCCGAAAAATCCGAGAATTTTACAGGAAGTGAAGATAGATGGTATGTGGAGTAAGCGAGCGAAAATCAAGATTTTGCATTACATCAAGATGGTGATTTTTTGTTCGCTAAAAAACCTACAATTTTTGCAAAAAAAGCCAAAAAAAGTTTGCGTGACAAAATTTTCCTAAATCGCTTCGTTAAACTATCGCATCGTTAAAATCGCATTTTTCAGTGTTGTGCACGATCACAAAATTCTATCACTTTGGGCTCAAATGTGCGAAAAAACCGAGGAAGCTTACAAAAATTGTTGGAAAAAATTGACAAAAAATGTCATTTTTTGTCAAAAAATTTCGAACTCAGTTTTTTTATTTCCAATTAGGAGAGGAGTTTCATTGCCTCCAGGAAATATTTGATTCTAGAAGTGAATCATTTAAGCTGTTATTTTCATTATACTCAAGTCGCTTTCCGAAAAATTCAACTTTTTTGATTTTTTTTTTGGCTACAGATGTAACCGACCATTTCTGTTAGTATGTCGCAAATTTCCAGCCTAGGATGTTTGCCAAACAACCACGTGATTGCAACATTTTGCAATATAAAACAATCTGGTTTGTGCCGAAGGCTGAAAATTTTTGTCACAAAAACCGAAAAGTTGGTCAATTATGTCGAAAAAACTTAGATCGAAAAAATTGGAAATTTTATGTGGAACACTTATGATAGACCACAAAATCTCACAAGACAAAATGCCTGCGAGTCATAGTATGCTTCCTGGAATAAAAAATTTTGGAAGAAATCATCCATCTTTTTGGGTTATTGAGGAAGAACAGAAAAAAAAGAAAATCACAAAAAATATATTCTTAAGAATTTCGAAAGATTTCACAGAAGAAAATGGATTATGCTCAATGACAAAATCCAGCGATTGAAAAATAATTATGAGGAGAATATTATCAGTCTGAACGTTTATTGGAACAATATAGCAGCGTTATTTGCCGAAACTTATAAAAAAAGAAGGCAAACTTTACATGTGAACTATGCATAAATTATTCATTTCAAAACTCTCCTGTGACAATAAATTTGTTGGCTCTTTCCTTTACGGAGCAGTGCCGTCTAAAATGCAAAATCTGTAAGAAAAAAATTCCGTCTAATTTAATTTCCTTTTTATAACATCCGTCTAATGTGCTTATCGTCTAATAGGCTCCCATAATTATTGAATAATGTTATTCGGCATATTTCACAGGGTTAGTTGGTCATCCTGGGCTGCGGTGCTTGACTTATGATTCGACCGACACGGTCAAACAGAGTACGGTTTTTGTCGCAAATAAAGATGGTCGAACGAACACTATAGTCAAACAAAGAAGAATCATGGGTCGAACAGGGTCGAATCATGAGCCGAACAGGGTCGATAGAGTCGAACAAGGTCAAATCATGAGTCGAACACGGTCGAATCATGAGTCGAACAGGGTCGAACCTGCGTCGAATATGGCATTTTCTATTATATTTTGCGGCGGCCTAGGCTGAAGGTTTTGACACATGATTCGACAGAAACGGTCAAATGATGAAATGATGTCCGAGTTTCGTCGTAGCTTGGTTAATTCCAGGTAAAAGCGAAGACGTTCCAATCAGTCGAACAAAGTCGAACAATGTCCGGTATAGTTGAACAAAGTCAAGCAAAGTCGAACAATGTCCGGTAAAGTCGAACAAAGTCGAAAACGGACATCGTTTGAATCAAGAAGTCGAAATCGGACATCGTTTGACTGAAAAATTTGAAAACGGACATCATTCGACCGTTTCGGTCGAATCATGAGTCAAGCACCTCAGCCCGGGCAATACCTCAACCCGAGTAATACCTCAACTTTTAATTTCAACAGTACTAATTTCATATTTCAACAAACTGCAACTAAATTTCACGGCATTCAACTTCAACTCGATCCTAATAACAATATGATGTAGGAAATTCAATTATCAATAAAACTGCCCGTATCAGGGTGAGGTCCTGACTATTCCGACTGGTGTTAATGATATTTGATATTGATTTAAACTTAAAGCATCGATAGGATTTTAAGAAAATTGAGGATAAAAAATTCGAAATTTTGTTTTTTTTTTGAATATTTTCCCCATACCCAATATATTATTATAAAATAGCAATTTTTGCAATTTTTAAAAATCAATAAGCCTGTTTAAAGGCAATTTGAAACATCTCTGAGATAGAATAATTTGCCTCTTTTAAAAAATGCGAAAATTCAAACATTTTAATGCAAAAAAATTCTCTATTCACATTTTTTATGAGTCATTTCAATTCATTCGATGCAAAGTTGACTATACATGACAGCATAATCATTGATTGAATCAGAATAGCTTGGACCTGCTAGTCAGTCTGACACGTAGCTACCCTCTGTGTTTACTATCTAAGCCCACCGCTCAGGAATTTGTCCTCCCTTAGGTCAAAATTCGCTTAGGTAAAAATTTTTCTTTGTATTTAAGCTGAGGGCATCGGTATCTTTTTTATATTACATAAAAATATTGTCAAAATTTCCTTCAACATTTCCAAGTAACTTCTGGAGCGAGACAGCTGGGAAACCAAAATATGGAAAGTCTAATGGTGCTTGTTGATTACTCGTTGAAACCTTGATTGGCTCATGTTGAAATTCAAGTGCGTTTGAAACAAATTTTGGAAAATCCAACAATTGTTGATTGAATAACCAGGAATTTCACGTGTTATTGAGTTTAAATTTAATGAAAATTACGTGATAAATTTTAAAGTCAGGAAGCAGACCTAATGTTCCGACTTTCGAAGAAAATGACGGAATATTTGCGCTCGAGGTGTTTTTTTTCTCCAGACAAATTTCGACTAACCTGTGATTATTTTTTGTAAAATTACGGGGGTTTGAAGATTGCCAATTTGGCCAATTTGGGACACTAAACGCGCGATATGTTTCGTCCCATTAACGGTCAAGCGGAGATTTAATCCGTCTTAGAAATCGTTGACAGTGAAATGTAACTTGGTACTTTATGTGGCGTAGACAAATCTCAGCAATTTTTCAAAAAAAATTTTTTTTTTAAATTCATCAATACTTGTAAAGCAAACAGTGCTCCATAGATCTTAAAAATTAATGTGGAGCTTGTTGAAACATACCATCAGGAATGTTGCTTTTAAACGTAAAAAGATGTGCTCGTTTTTGAGCCGAGTATCTTGTGTGCACAGGTGTGTTCGAGACCCATTCGAAGCTTCTAATGCTGACCATGTATCGAAATGATCCTCTTGAACAGCAGAGAACTGAGCTTCTAGGCTTGCGTCCCGATACTCTCTATGCTATCCGGGTGGCACTCACCGGCAGCAAGGGTCAGGGTCCCTTCTCCACTAAATTCTACTCCAGCACCCAAGAAGGAGGTAAACATTGAGAATTGTAAAATAATAAAGTTTTTTATGATTAAATTATTGAATAATTATATCAATGTTTTTCTACTTACAGGGAAAAGTGAAACACTATAGAGCTAAACTGAGCTCTTCTATCAGAATTTTTACTATGTTGAATTTAATAACAGAATTACCAGTTTAATTTTAATATATGTAATAGAAGGATCAGCTTGCCATTTCCGCAAAAAATTGGATCGAAAAGTCAAACTGACTCGTATGAAAAAGTCAAACAAACATTCAAGAAACCTCTTTGCTCTTCTCCCCTTGTCAAAAATTCATCTGTCTGAAAAACTTATTACATCAAAAACGAAGGGGGTATTGAACCCACTTGGACTTCCCACAGTTATGTAACCAACATAGCTACAAAGTGCTGCCCTAGTTTTAATCAGACGCGAATAATAATAATTTTACAAATAAGTAATTTTTTATTTGTTTCATGTATTTGTTTCTGTAGTGCCGGGAGTTGTGGGGCGGGTGATGGTGGGCGACGTCACCTCCTCCTCCCTCACAGTGTCCTGGAACACACCCCTCCACCCCAGAGGGACTATTCTGGGCTACAAATTGAGACTGGCCACTGCTCAGAATGTGTCATCTCCTATTGTGGTGCCAGCCCAACAGTACCTACACGTGTTCAGGAGATTAGGTCAGTATTTTTTCTGTAGTAATTTAGCTGTAAATTTTCTTGTAACTCTTTACGAACTCTTTCTTTTGTCATTTTTAAGTAGTCTTTACATTTTCGTTTTCTATAGCCGTTTTTTGTAGTTTAGATCTTCAAAATTGTTAACAGATTTTCAAGATTTTTTTTATTGTTCTTTGAAGTTTTTAAGCATTCATTAAGTCTTAACGAACAAAAAATTTGCTTGTTTTTTTGTGTTTTTTTTGTCCTGTGAAGAATTTTTTCACGTTTAAGCTATATCGTGTATTGCAGTGGTTAAGGTTTTATTTTCGATTTTCCAGTTTAAATTCAGTGTTTATTTCATCAAGTTTGAAATAAGCAGCCCAATAGTAGCCAATAGTAGGACATTGTCAGAGTTTTCCCAGGTTTTGCGATTCTGGCCTCCATATATGACTAACCAAATCCTTTTAGTTTACGAGATAGGCAATTTTCGAGATTTTTGAAAAAATTATAGAAAATTTAATTTTAGAAAGTTTCTCAATTTTGAAATTTTCACCCTGTAGTTGGGTGCCTTCAAAGTACTCTCAGGGGTTGCGAATCTTGCCTCCAATTCTCACTGCTCAAATCTTTGTAGTTTTCAAGATATGACGTTTTTTTTATTTTTTTCAAAAAAATAGCAAAGACTTAGATTTTAAAAACTTCCAAAATGTTGAAGATCTCAATCTTTTTGTTGGATATTGTGAGGGTACTCTCAAGGGTTGCGAATCTTGCCTCTGATTATGGCTGCTCAAATCTTTGTATTTTTCGAGACATGACATTTTTTATGATTTTCTCTGAAATTTTCAAAAAAAGTTAAATGATAAAAAATTCCAAAAGTTTGAAGATCTTAATCCTGTTATTGGAATCTGTGAGGGTATTCTCAGTCGGTTTTGAATCTTGCCTTTGAATATGAATGCTCAAATTCTTTTAGTTTCCGAGATATGATGTTTTTTTAGGTTTTTTTTTCAAAATTTTTCAGAAAACTTAGGTAAAAAAAAATTCACAAAACTTGAAATTTTCATCTCTGTAGTGAGACTCTGTTAGGGTACTCTCAGGATTTGCGAGTTTTGCCTCCCGATTCGGCTGCTGAAATTCTTGTAGTTTTCCAGATACGACGTTTTTTATGATTTTCTCTGAAATTTTCAAAAAAGTTAAATGATAAAAAAATCCAAAAGTTTAAAGATCTCAATCCTGTTATTGGAATCTCTGAGGGTACTCTCAGCGGGTTTCGAATCTTGCCTCTGAATGTGAATGCTCAAATTTTTGTAGTTTTCGAGATATGACTTTTTTTAGGTTTTTTTCAAAATTTTTCAGAAAACTTAGGTATAAAAACTTTCACAAAACTTGAAATTTTCTTCTCTGTAGAGGCTCTGTCAGGGTACTCTCAGGAGTTGCGAGTTTTGCCTCCCGATTCGACTGCTGAAATTCTTGTAGTTTTCCAGATACGACGTTTTCTGTGACTTTTTCAAAAAAATTTCCATGAAAATTAAATTAATTTTTTTTTCAAGTGTGAATTTCCTAACCTGTATTTGGGGGGCTGTCAGAGTAATCTCAGGGGTTGCAAATTTGGCCTCCAATTAAAAATGCCCAAATCAATTTTGCTTAGAAGATACAACAATTTTTGTGATTTTTTTGGAAATTTTCAGAAAACTGAAATCACAAAATAATTCGTTAAAGTGAAATTCCCAGCCCTCTAGCTGTGTACAGTAGTATTGTATCGTGTCCCGGATCCTAAGGGGGGGGTCCTTCCTAAGGGGGGGGTCCTCACGTAAAGCAAAATCCTAGGAAAGGGGTCCTTAATTTTTTGGAGGACCCTCATCCTAGGATTTTGTAAACGAAAGAGATTTTCCACCCAAAAAGCAGAAGACCCCCTACTTAGGATCTTGCTAAGTTTAGCTTAACAACAAGGGACACGATACAAAAATCTTTCTAATTCCAAATTTTGGGGTCCCAATTATTGGTCCTGATTAATTATATGAATCATATTAATTGTTATGCTTGTTTAGGGTAAATGAACTTTCGACCTAGTTGAAATTTGTTAGTGAACGGGGAATAGACTTTTATGGTATATAATAAAAATTCGCCGGCCATTTTGGCAGCGTAGCTTAACTGTTGGCAGCAGTAAACTAATTCCTTAACTTGACCTAAATTTTATGGTGAAAAGGCAGTAAATTGAAATTACTCTCAAAAGGCGGCGGCCGTTTCTGGGCAAAATATACCAAATGATAAAATTGTCAAATTTTGAAATAAGAAAAATGAAATTAGAGGGAACTTGGTGTACTGAAGATATTGATAATGAACATTTACAATTAAGAGTGTTTTCAACCGCAGAAAAAAAACTCATTTTTCAAATTATGTAATGAACGCTACGTCGTCTTCCTCGAAAGGGCAAAGGAAATTTCAAAGAAAGAATACGAGTTGATTTTCAAAGAACAATTTTATTTGAGTGAGCTTCAACAAATCTCTTGGTGCATTTCTACAAAACAAAAGTATGGCACTGTGAGCGATTTGAATATTGCTGATTATGAAAACGTTTTCGACTATTCGTTTGACTTTAACTCATTATGGGTTGATAAAGACTTGGAGAGAAAAATCCGTCTATGTTTCAACAAGCTATCAAAATACAAAAAACTTCCGGTGGTTTATTTAATTATTTACCACCGTTATCTTAATGAGTCTAATTGGTATTTGCAAGGTCACTTTTATTTCCACTGGCTTGAAATTCAGCAGGTTGGAGAGGTGTTGGAAAAAATAAATAATGAAATTGCAAAAAAGCAGAGTAACTCCTATTGATTTGAAAATAATTCACGAAATTTATACGTCTTTGAAACAAACTTATCCTGATAATTCTAACCGACGCAACTATTTTCTAGCTGCATGTTCTCTGTTTTTTGTTAGTTCTGATAACCTTAACTACGACATTTTAATTAAGTTGAGACCTTATGGTGGCTTGATTGGTATTGATAACTCTTCCTTGGACAAATATTTGAAAAATTCCAAAATTTTACGATTGCACGCTATTTTGCACGATGCGGCCGGATTTATACACGAATTTTATCAACAGGGTCCCACGTACTGTTACATGTTGCCCTGGAACTGTAACAACAGCTTATTGGGACATTTGAGTGGAATAGCGTTCTGCCTTTTCATTAAGTTGAAAAAACCAGAAGTTTATCATTTACTAGAATGCTAGGCGAGAGATCAGTTGTGCTTGACGTGGAAGGCTTTCGTTACAAGAAAAACGCCTTTGTGGTTAAAGAATTAGCAATAACAACTTCAGACTACAGCGATCGACTCATTTTCCTACCTCCAGTGAATTTCAATATACTACCAAAGCTTGAACAAAAAGCTTACAACTGGTTAACTAATTATTTACACGGTCTCCATTGGGAAAACGGTGATTATCTTTATATAAACTTGAATCAAATACTTCAGAGTTTTGTGCTGAGAAATCCTGGTGCCGTTTTTTACGCTAAAGGAAAAGAAAAGACAGAATTTTTGGCCAAGTACTTGGACCGAAAGATTGAAAACCTAGATGATTTGGGCTGTCCTCGGGTTGAAAACTTATATTTTAAAAATTATCCAAGTTGCAATAAACATATTCCACATTACAACTCCAGGAATCATTGTGCCTTGAAGAAAACCAAGGTTTTTTATGATTGGTTGAAAAATGAACAACAGCGAGAGATCAGCGAAAGTGGAGACATACCTATCACAAAATTCAATGCTTTGTGCGTGGATGACTCCAGAGGGTGATATTAAAATTTCATTAACGAGAATAGAGCGTATTGATTGCAGTGGCCAAATTGTTCAGAGGAAGGAGCAAATAATAATTTCCGAAGAAGAGTTGTCTACGTTGAAGAGGTTTTTTCCAGTTATTGATCAATTTGTATACTTCCAGAGATTCAAGTTTATCAGAAATGTTAGCCAGCAAGCGAGGAGTATGTCTTCCCGAACTAGTCTTAGTACCCAAACGTCAGCCAGGAGTTCAGATGGATCTAAACAGCAGTGAATTGCCAGATGAGATTAAGACGATTGTGAAAGAGGATACTGTGAAGAAAATAATGTACTACAAAAAAACCGCAAATATCCCAGCAAACTTTGTTTTAGAAATGCATGACATAAATGATAGAGATTTCACACGTTATGAAATTTTTTACTGTTCTCAAAAGTAATTTAATTTTTTACAAGCTTCATTCGCAGAGAGAAAAAGTCTAACGCAGTCTGTAGAATAAATAGTTTCTCAAATGTCAGAAGCAACAACAGCAGTAGATGAACCTGACGCAACATTAGTAACAGAGTTTGTTTATAACGAGACAAACAGTGAAAAAAAATCATGGAAGTTTTGTAACAATGTAACTTTGCCAAGGTCTGAAGTAGTTTTTGTTGCGCAAATGGTAGTAATTCTAATTTTACTAACTTTCTGCATTCTCAAACTTTCTTTCACTAAATTAAGTTGCGAAGAAACGTCAGTTTGGTTCTCGATTTTATCAGGCTTGGTTGGTTACGTACTACCAAACCCAAGAATATGAATAAAGTGATTGATACTTCGACAAGAATTTTTATGGCGATAGTGGGACCTTCAGGATCCGGGAAAACTGAGTTAATTTTGAAACTTCTGATGGGAAATACTTTTTACCCTAAATTTGGAACCGTTCTATATCTTTACAAAGAGATGCAACCTGCATTCTCAGAAAAAGTGTCTTCTCGCGAAGTGAATATGGAGTTCATGAAATTCGACGGATTCGAATCTGTGAGAAAATTAGAAAATGTTCTTCTAGTTTTCGATGATTCATGTGAAGACATCTATAATGACAAGGAATTTGTTAGGTTAGCGACAGCGGGTAGACATAGAGGGATAGATGTAATATATGTTAAGCATAACTTGTTTCAACAAAGTCGATGGTCGCGTACGATTGATTTGAACACTTCACACATCATTCTGTTCAAATCGCCTCGCGACGTTCAGCAACTGGATCTATTAGGAA